AACTATTTATAATAATTAAAAATAATTTTTTTTTTAAATTACTCAAAAAAAATTTCCTTTTTTTTTTTTTTTTAATTTTTTGCTATAAAAGTTATAATCGTCACAGTCCCTGAAAAATACTAATATATTATACATAATATAATATATTATACTTAATTATTAAATTTTAGGCAATTGAAACATTTAAACATTTATTTCACTTTCTTATTAAACTCTTCAGCAATTATTATATATTTCATGGTATATAATTACTTAATTAGCTCGTAATTATTTGTGTGTAAATAACGTTAATTGAATACCTTTCAAGCTTCTTTTGCCAAGGTGTTAAATTCAAAGCACTTTTCACCTGTGCATTTTTCAGGCCAGATTCAAGAGCTGCAAGTGTTCAGGCGCCCTTACAGGTCGCAGATTCGAGCCACAAATAAGCCGAGCATAAAATGCTAGCAGAGCGAGAGAAAGAGAGAGATAGAGAGAGAGAGAGAGAATGAGTAGGGGTTGGAGCGAGTGCGACAGCTGAGCAGATCTTGGCTGCCTGCTTGCCTGCAGGATAAATGTTTGGCAGGCTGAAAATGTTATGTGTGTGGTAAATTAAATTGAAAAGCATTGCAGGAAATGCGAGCATAATATTTGCGCCTTGTTAGTTTGTCAACGCTTCGCTGGCTCTGAATGATGATGAGGAGCCATGGATAGGGCTGTGTAAAAGAGGGAGAGACAGAAGGAGAGGGAGAGCGAAACTTTGGCATGATGTTGAAACATTTAATGACATTTAACAGGCGGCGCAGCATAATAAAAATTCTAAATAAATATATGTATATGCTCTACTATATGTATATAAAAAGAAATAATTGAAACATCAGCGGGTGCTCTACATACCGCAAAGGCATTTGGCATTTCCCGCAGCAAAAGTTCTCCCCTGCGGAGGAGGAAACTAACTGTTGGCGGGAATGGGGGCGTGGCATAGAAAGTGCGGTGACTGCCAGAATCACGCTTAAGCTCACGATTTATGTGAGATTCTTTAAGCGAAATCCAAGTCAATTAGTTTCCTAATTCGTTTTGCGAAAAGGAATTTATCGATTTTATCTGCAGACGTGCAGAAAGTAGTTAAGAGCAGTTTTTCCAACGACTTTCATCGTTTTCTTCTTCTTTTCTCACTCTATATGTGTGTGTGTGTGTGTCTGTGTGTGTGCGCTTGTTTGTGTATAAGTGCTGATAATGATTCTCGCTGTGCTCGTGTGTGCGCGCCTTAACAATGAGAGCTGTGCATTTTATGTGTGCGACTCTCTGTGGGGTGCGTGAAGCAATAAACAAGCCGCATTGCTCATACGCCATGTGTATGCATGGGCAAGCGTTCGTTCGGCTAAGCGACAGCAAATTAAATTAGATTGCAATTGTTTTGCCAGTCGATTTAAATGCTCAAATAAACAAACAACAAAGCATCCCAGAGACTTCGTGCGAATTCCTCAAGCGACAACAAACAACAGCAAAATATTCCAATGAACTTGTAAGATAATTCGCATACCGAACGAAATTTAAGGACAAACAATCGCTTGAAGAATTTAAGGTATTTATTGACCAATTTTCAATAGATGTGTCCCTCAGATTTAGGAGCAGCGGTATATGAAGGCAACATAATAAAACTATTTTTCAGGTGAATTTAGGTTTATTATGCAAAATAAAGAATCGCAATTTAAAGAGGAAAATGCATGTCGCCAATTAATTTTGCAAATTTAATAAATATTTGAGTTTTAGATTTATATGAAATAACAAAATTTATTTCATTTCATATTTTATATTGTTTATTAATGTAATTTTCCAAATTGCCTTTGACAAGCAAGGACACTCTTATTCTAAAATCAAGAATATATAATAAATATAAATAATAATAATAAATAGTATATATGGTGTTTTAAATTTAAATAAATCTACTCAATTTAACTAATTTATAATGTAGCATACTGGTAGTAAAATTTAAAATTAAATAAAAAAATGTATGAAATATATGAATAAATAAACTAAAAATTGAAGTTAATCGAGAAATGACTAAATAACTTTTCGTACATTTATAATATCTTATAAAGTTTGCTAAGGTAGTACAGTGAACATCGTGTAGCTGACTATATTTGGGTAAGCTCTCTATAATCCCTATAAAGCCGGTACTTCGTGTCGGATTTTGTAGCTCTCGAAAGTATTGTGCACAAATATAAATCATTTTAAAATGAAAAACTTTAGTTATTACTTTGACTTGTGTTTACACTTGTAGCGGCTATGCTGCTTGGGAGGCGGCATGGTGTGTGGGCGTGGGCTTGGCATTCGTTGTCGATAGGCGGACGACTCAATCTGTGGCGGCATCGTCTTAAAGAATTTTTAATTGCTTCAAAAACAAGTTGAATGCTGTTTTATTTATATTTCCGTCGACCGCCGAGGCGACGCTATAGACAAATTCCATTAAACTTTTGGCTTCTAAACTGTGTCAAAGTTGGGGTAGGGTCAAGAGAGAGGAAGAGCGGGAGCGAGGCGATATGGTATGGGAGCCGCTTACTGGTCCGCTGGCTAAGGATAATTCAGTGGCAGCCGCCAGAGAGACGAGCTCAAAAAGTTTTGCGCAAAGTAAACTCAACTGAATGAAATGAAAATGCCACAGAGGCAAAACCAAAAGCCTCAGAGAGTGAACGAGCGGGAGAGAGAGAGAGAGAGAGGGAAGGAGAGTGAGTGAGGGATGTGTGTGCGTATAGTGGATAGAGGGGAGATGGATAGAGGGGAAAGCGAGCGACGCTTGGTGAGCAATCAATTTCTGTTGACGTTGACAACAAGGCAAAAGTCCGGCCAAAGTTAAGGCCAAAAGGAAACCAAAGCCGCTGCACGAAAGAGACGGACTGTGGGAGGCGACAAATCAAAGTCGACGTCGCGTTTTTAAGACGCCTGTCGAATTGTGCCGGAACACGCCCACTAAACGCCTTCAGCTGGCAACTGGCAACGGCAACGGCAACGGCAACGGCAACGGCGATTGCGACTGAGACTGCGGTTGAAGTGTATTTAAAAGTTTGATTAGTTTTTAATGTTTGTGGGAGGCGAAGCTCTTAAGTTTTTCGCTTCGTGTCGCCCTGTAATTTTTATAAACTTTGCATTTCACTTGTTTCCCAGTTTAACTTTAACATTCGAAACGTACATCTATATGCATGTATCTGCATACATCACGGCACATATATATATATTTATTAATGTAGTCTGTTTATGCATATTTATGCAAAAGTCAACTAATCACAAACATATTGCATAAAATAACAATTTCATAAATTGAAACAAAATGTCTAGACTCATTATGCCACCGAAAATGTATGCAATAAAATTATGCAAATTATATTACGAACAACAACAACAAACCAACTACAACAATATGTTGGCGAAATAATTTCTCATATTTGTTGGTGCTGCTGCTGCTGCTGCCGTCGAGGTTTGTCCTTTGTCAAAGTTTATCTAGTTGGCTCTGTTGCGACATTTTGTAAATTCATTTATTCCAAATTTGATTTTCGCATAATACAAATGCCTAATATTTATAATAGTCTTTGTCATTGAATAATAAATAAGAGTGCTCTAGTCGAAAGATAACGACACAGATACAGATACAGATACAGATTCAGATACAGATACAGATACAGATACAGATACAGATACAGATACAGATACAGATACAGATACAGATACAGATACAGATACAGATACAGATACAGATACAGATACAGATACAGATACAGATACAGATACAGATACAGATACAGATACAGATACAGATACAGATACAGATACAGATACAGATACAGATACAGATACAGATACAGATACAGATACAGATACAGATACAGATACAGATACAGATACAGATACAGATACAGATACAGATACAGATACAGATACAGATACAGATACAGATACAGATACAGATACAGATACAGATACAGATACAGATACAGATACAGATACAGATACAGATACAGATACAGATACAGATACAGATACAGATACAGATACAGATACAGATACAGATACAGATACAGATACAGATACAGATACAGATACAGATACAGATACAGATACAGATACAGATACAGATACAGATACAGATACAGATACAGATACAGATACAGATACAGATACAGATACAGATACAGATACAGATACAGATACAGATACAGATACAGATACAGATACAGATACAGATACAGATACAGATACAGATACAGATACAGATACAGATACAGATACAGATACAGATACAGATACAGATACAGATACAGATACAGATACAGATACAGATACAGATACAGATACAGATACAGATACAGATACAGATACAGATACAGATACAGATACAGATACAGATACAGATACAGATACAGATACAGATACAGATACAGATACAGATACAGATACAGATACAGATACAGATACAGATACAGATACAGATACAGATACAGATACAGATACAGATACAGATACAGATACAGATACAGATACAGATACAGATACAGATACAGATACAGATACAGATACAGATACAGATACAGATTCAGATTCAGATTCAGATTCAGATACAGATATTCAATTTGCTCCACTTCAAATGGATCTTTTCCTTTAATACCGGAACAATAGTGTTAAATACAATTTGATCCATTTCAGAGATTTCACTTTAATACAGCGAAATAGAGACATTCATTGCTAATTTGAAGTATTAAACTGAGTTATCCGTATCAAATGGAACAAATTGTATAAAAAGGCGATTCGTCTTAAGTATAGTGCATATCGAGTGTGTTATCGTGTTTTGATACTTTTTAATTGTAATTGACGTAAGTAAGTGCGAAAGCATAGCAAGTGTGTTGAGGTTATGATAATTTCAGTAATTCCATTTTGCTTCTGTAAGCATTTGGCTTCTTTAAGTATTTAATATTAAAAAAAAAAAAAAAAAAATATCCTTCAAAATACGTAGATAAATCGTATCAGAATATCAAATTTCTCTAAAAATGCCTATTGATGCCAAATGCGTCAACGATTTTAAGCCCCCGTTTAGTCGTGCATTCTCGACTAGAGTTTTCTTACTTGTTGTGCCTAAATATTTGTTAGTTGATAAGATTGAGCTGAACATTGGTTGAAAATATAAGTAAATTGAGTTTTTTATGAACTTCCAGAGCATCCAAGAAGTTTCCATTGTCCGTAGGAATGAATTTCAAGTACTGTGTAAGTATATGAGAACATACATGCATGTTTATATAAACTCGTGCGTTTTTACTCTCACTATATTATTCGCTCTCTTTGTTTCTATAACACTCCCTCTCTTTATTTCTATCGCAGTTGCTGCTGTTATCTATGCTGCTAGCCGGCGCTAGCGCTAGACCGACCTCAGACCCGCTCTCAGAGCCGCCTTGCTATAGCCCACCGTGGTGTGGACCTCCCGGCCCACCCGGTACCCAAAATAAGTAGAGTCGTTTATTTTCGTAATTATTTCGTACCATTTGCGAAAACAATTAAACTTCCATAAAGCATACAAATAAGTTTCTTACTGGTAATTTTGTAATGCTCATGTGGCTGGGAACCTTTCAGTAATTAGTACGGATTTTTATTTCCAAGGGAAAACACACATAAAGAGCGCGAGGTTTCATTGCCTGCGGATTGAAATAAACCATTGAGTTTAGAGTTGCGTTTAGGGTCAGCAGACACCAACACAGTCATCAAGAGCAAACACATGCACATACTCTTAATATGAGTCTCGTTTGTGCAGTTAGAATTCAAATAAGAATTTGCCCAGCGGAACGCGCTGTCTTTCTCTTTCTTCCTCTCCCGTCTTATTCACAGTTGCCACCGTACCTGCAATATAAAAATATTTTAAGACAGCATAGTAAATGGGAAGAGAAGGCAAAACAAAAATCGAGAGCGCAACAATAACAACACGTTACACTCTCTGTGCGAGTGCGAGCAGCGTAAATACGAAAGCAGTGTGATCGAGTGAGATGTACATAGATATGTGCAAGTGTAAATGCCAGGGTGATCGAGGGAGATATACATACATATGTCAAAATACATGTTTATGCAATAGTTGCGTTAGAGAAATGTGTGTGTAGATATGAATTATATATGTCAATATGCGCTAGCTGCTTTGGTGATATCAGTAAATTGGCTAATTTTTATAAAAACTGAGTTGAGTGTTTTTATACCGTGAACCCATTGAAAATGGGAAATCAGGGTATAATGGATTTATTTGGAAAATTCAGATAGAGATACAGATACAGATACAGATATTCAATTTTCTCCACTTTAAATGGATATTTTCCTTTAATACTGGAACAATAGTGTAAATTTAATCCATTTCAGAGATTTCACTTTAATACAGCGAAATAGAGACATTCATTGCTAATTTGAAGTATTAAACTGAGTTATCCGTTTCAAATGGAACAAATTGTATAAAAAGGCGATTCGTCTTAAGTATAATGCATATCGAGTGTGTTAACGTGTCGTATACGTGATTTTGATACTTTTTAATTGTAACGTATGTAAGTAAGTGCGAAAGCATAGCAAGTGTGTTGAGGTTATGATAATTTGAGCAATTCCATTTTGCTTCTGCAAGCAATTGGCTTCTTTAAGTATTTAATATTATTAAATAAAAAAATAAAAATTCGTTATAAATACGTAGATAAATCATATCAGAATATCATATTTCTCTTAAAATGCGTATTGATGCCAAATGCTTCAAAGATTTTAAAATTTGTGCTTAGAAATTCATTTAATGTTGATGTTAAATTTCTCACAATTTTTGTTATGGGTATCGATTTTTCTTTTTAACTATACGCCCTTTTTGGCTTTCAGCAGATGGTTATTAAAAATGTTTCCATGATAATTGCAAGTTAACGAAAAGCATCTTTGACATCGTTTAGGACTTCTTCTCCATATCAAGCAAAAAGCGACCCCAACCTTTCCCCAACGAGCAGGTTTCTTTTCGGCCTTATCGCACTCGTCAACAACAATAATAAAAGGCAGTTGGCAAATGCAGCCATAAATTATGAATATGAAAGGCAAGGTGTCTACGTGTATGCGAGTGTGTTTGTTGGGGAGATCCTCGCTCGCCTCCCTTCGGTGCCTCCCTGGGGTCCAATAACGCAAAGAGGCCGCACAAGGCCGTAGGCAATGCAGGGTTAATAGAAAGTATATGTGCCTGTATGTGGGTGTGTGGGCATGTGTAAAAGTTATAAACATTTATGGCAGCTACTTAAAAATGTCAAGCGAAAAAATTATGATAATGATACGTGACATTTGAAAGCAATAACAATTTAGTTAGCACGCACTTTTTGATTACACTCGAAAAGCTCGACCAGGTTTTATTTATGAGTTGCCTACATAAAATTGAAAAATTGCCTTTAAAATTTGTGGGTGTGTTTGTTCATATGAAATACTTACATGAGTGTAATAACAATAATCATAAAGTACACCACCATAGAATGAGGCATTGGTAATAACAATCTAAGCAGCAGAATAGCTAGCCTCGACTCTATAATGCCCTATGATAGAATATTCATTAGAGCATATTAATGTTATAATATATAAAAATTGCATCTTGTTTAATAATACGTTTACTCAGTGCTTACTATTAGCTTCTTAGTGCTGCCCCTTTGTAGCTAAGTTCGTTAAGTTCGTTGAAATCATAAGCATACCCTCTCGCTCTCACTTAGCGGTAGCCTGGACTTTGTTCAGCAGCAGCTAGCTTTATCTCTTTCTCGCTCTTGGACTGAGAGCTAGCAGGCATAAGAAATGAAAAGCGCTGCAAGTAAAGCGCAGGCTCACACGGATAAACAAGCTCTCTCATTAATACTATTGCAACAGTAGGAGGCAATCAAGACAAAATTGAAGCGATTTTGCTCCGTTTCTATATATCGGGCCAGAGCCTAAGCATGACAATGAGTGCAAGTGAGAGAAGAGTAGTAGTGCGAGAGTAGATCCCTTGGAAGGAAACTCTTAGTGTCACGGTCAAGAGTTTGGATTGTGCTGGAATTATGACAGATGTGTCGAAAACAAAAAAAATGCAATCAGTTAGTGGCCAACTTATCGAGTAAATAATAATAATACAAAAAATGTTTGTATTTACATTAAATTAAATAAAAACTTAGTCAAAAGAAAATTTTTAGTTTTGCGTAGGCTATGCATTTTATGAAATTAACAAAGTGTTAGGAGCTGGCGAAGCTGTCCTTGAAGTGGTCAGAGGGAAGGAGGGGCGGCAAAGGTGGGTCTGCGACCAGGCAGCCAGCAGAAACTACAATAATAACAGCAGCAACAACAACAACAACAGCAACAAAGCACACATCCTGTATGTCAACTGAATAATTCGTTGCATGCACAAAAGGCATGCACTCACATCCGGTTTCCTGTCATTCTTTTCGCCACAGAGGGTCGACGAGGTACGCAACGGGAAGAGAGGAGTGAGTGGGAGCGGCGCAGCAAGAGCGAGAGAGCAAATGACCGGCTTGCAATTTATGTCTATGTGTTGGCGGCTGCAGCACGTTCTTGTTGCTGTTGTTGTCTTTATGGCGTGTTTGGTATTTGTTGCAACTTTTGTTTTGAATTCCTGTGGCCTTGTCACACGCTCCAAGCGCTTGCAGTTAAATTTATGTTTTAACAAAAACACACACACATGCATACCCCTTAACGAACAATGAATGCATAAAAGTGTTGCACACAACGCGAACTCTGCGTGCACCGTCTCTCTCTCTCTCTCTCTATTTCGCTCGCTCTCTTGCTTTGCCAGAGCCATACAAATGCATGACAAAGTAACAGCCAGTGAGTGAGAGAGAGAGAGATGGGAAGAGAGTGAAAAAATCAAGTACAGTGACGGCCAAATGCCAGCACCACGTCTCTTGTAAAGCAGCGTATAATCCACTGATTGCTCCCAAGGTTCAGCTTTCAACAATGAAGGACACTCCAAAGGAGTTGGACAATGCGCAGGAGGTGCCGGGACAATGGGAGTGGCACCAGGCAGGGGCATGGCTATGGCCTGTAGCTGTCGGGTCAACGGATGCTGTTGCTCTTTTGTGTCAGGGCACTGAAGTGGGTATACACAGCTTGACAATCAAGTTGACAGCGGGAGTATAATAAATTGAAATTTCACTTGATGTTGCAGGAATGTTCTGAAATTGTTTCTAGTAGCTAAATGTCTCAGATCATACTTATTCGATGCAGTCAAAATGAGGTCTATAATATTAGTACTCTTGGGTCTTTTAACTAGATTTAGGAATCCGAACATTAATGAAGTCTAAAATCAGAAGATAAAAAGCTATTTTTTTTTAAATGTCTGATATTGATTTTGACTGTATTACTATTCCTTTAATATAAATTCAGTGATTGATCTGCTGCAGAAGAAAGTATTTGCTTTCTATTTTAATATATTTAGTTCACTCTGCAGAAGTGTAACTCAGCTTCTACTTAACTGTGGAGGGCTTTCTATTTTATTTTCGCTGCCCTCTGAATGCTGCTGGAGACTTCGTTTTGATGCAGTCTGCAGTTGTCGCCCGAGAGACCTGCCAGAGTTTTGGCATTAATTTTGCATATGAATACGGAATATGGACAACTGGATTTGCTGTAGCTGTTAGCGCTATGCATGAGAATGTTGTGGCTGTTGGAGTAGTCTCGACAAACGCGCCCTGTTGGGTCAGGTCATGCCTCTTTTACACCTTTCTACACTTGTCGCTCTGCTAAGCAAAAGTCTGAGAATCGTCGCATTAGGGCCTCAATTTTCACATTAATTTCGCTTGCAGCTTCGGACATGCTCAATTGGCCAACACTGTCGGCTCATTAGCAACACGAGCCTGCTACGGAAAGCAGCCTAGCAATTCGAGTAGCCCCAAACGCATGCAGATGCAGAGAGGCCATAAGAGCAATAAACTGCTAGCTATGCAACTGCATTGCCTTCTCGAACGTTGGCCAAAAAGAGGAGCCAAACTGTCGTTTGGCTTTGATTTGCCTATTGAATTGCCTGAACTATAGCAGAAGTTTTTAGAGATTGTTTGCTCGATTCTTTCCTATTATAAATGGCAATAGGAGGGAAATAATTTTGCATTTGGTTATTTCTCTATTAGATTTACCATTATTTATCTATTTTACCATTCATTAGTTATTACGCGTATCATGATTATTACCATAATCTTGACCATTATCATTGTGATTATCACAAAACATCATGATTGTTATTTTTATTGGTATTATTGCCCAATTTTTGTCTACTTATATATCAGATCATATATTGTATATAGAATCTTATTATTATCAGCAACATAATTAATATCATTGAAATTACAAATTATATATTGAATTGATTATATTTAATTCATAAAATACTTGTTCATCATTATCGAATCTTGAATAATGTCAATCGTTTTATCATTATGATTAGCATTATAATTCATAATTGTCATCATTAGCCTTTTCACAATTATCATCATTATTATTAGATCAATGCACACTGAGTTAATATCTGCCAATTCATCGAATCGATTTAGAAATTCAATTGAAACGCAAAGCAAAGGAAATGTTTGCATTTTCGTAGAATAAAATGTGCAGCTCAAAAGTATGCAGTATTTAGGAAGTTAGCCGTAAAACGCCCGTAAATCGTCTCAATAAATTTTCAAATCTTTTGCCATTTGCATTTTGTCATATCGCTCGAGCTTCATTAGGCAACTCCCAAGTAAATCAACATAGCTGCCAGACACGCACAAAATTTTCAAATGATATACAACGAGTTACCTGAACTGTAAATGTGTGGAAGTGTGTGTGAGTGTGTGTGTACGTGTGTGTTAAAGTTGCCAACGCAGCAGCAGCTCATTGTCGACTGCTGTTGTTGCTGTTGCTGCTGCATTTAAGTAAAATGAATTGCCTGCAATTTATTTTTGTTGCTTATCATATAAATTGCACTCGCCTGCAAGTCATTATTTGGCACATTTGCGCTCAATGGCTGCACATTGCCTGCCCGCCCACAACCGAAATTTGTGGCAAGTGGGCGTGTCAGTGTGTGTGTGTGCGTGACGAACCGGAAGCCCAGAGATATGCCGGCAAGAACAATAGCAACAACAATTTGGCCAACTGGAGATGCTGCCAGGTGGCCTTTGCACTTGGCTGCGTTTTTAAGCCAAGGCAACGGCGATGCAAGCCAGCCAGTGCTGCCAAAGGAGCCCAGCCAAAGGGCAAAGGTTGCAAAATAGCCATTGGGGATATGCCCGTAACTGGTACTTAAGCAGTTGCTGCTCTTTTATTTACCACTTGCAACCGCCGCACAAATAAATTTCCGGTTTCCTTTGCTTTTCAGAGCACCAAACTGAAATTCTAAAAAAAAAAAAACCCACAACAAAAATAATAATAAATGATAACTGTTTGCTTAATTTTTTTATTGTTATTTATTTATCTCTTTCTGATATGGGATTTGATGGAAAGTTGTTTTTAATTATAGAAAATTCTCGACTTGTTTAGTTGCGTATATGAAGATTTATAAATAATATATAATTATTTCTAGTTTTATAAAAATGAAAATAAACAACTGATAAGAAATATAGAAAGCTCAATAAATACGAATTTGAATTTATTGTTGAGAGCGCGCGTTAGTTATGAAAGGGTTTATCCTAGAGGCACGAAGCACATATGTCGTATCTAATTAATACTAGACTTTGTTTCACTGTCAATAAAAATGAAACTCAATTGTTTCTACATATATTCTTAGGGGAATACTCCACAGCTACCACATTCACAGTCCACATTGACTATTTTTCAGTTAGCCAATGGAATTCAAATGATAGCAAACGGTAACAGGAAATATATATTACAAATGCAATTGCAATTAACATGTCGGATTATTGGGTCAGATAAGAATGACATTTACAAATTGCGCAGTACATACACACACATAAAAAACAAAAACAAATCGAATAAACAACAAAAAAAAAAAACAGAAATAAGAAATTAATATAAGAAATAAAAGTGTTGTCTGCGACCGTGAAATCTGAGAGAGACCAGAGCAGAGATTTCATACAATACGACATACTTGACCCAATAAAGTACGTCCTATCAGAATATTTTATTTACCTTGCCCAACAAATCGCTTTTTGAACGCCAAGCGATCGGCTATTGAAGCATCTGTAATACTCTACTGAGCTCATAAGTAAATCGAAATATTTGTATTCATTTTTATGTGCTGTGCACTCACAGTGAATTTTATATTATTGGGACACACTTTTGGAATGTTTAATCTCAACAAATGTTGTAAAGTTCAGTTGAGCTTTACAGACTGTGCAAATTCTTTTTTTGTTGTATAATGTATTTTGTGTTGTGATTCAAGCTTATTATCTAAATATTTGTTAGTTGACAAGATTGAGCTGAGCATTGGGTGAAAATAACTTCCAGAGCATCCGAGAAGCTTGTAGCATCAGTAAGAATGAATTTCAAGTGCTGTGTAAGTATATGAGAACATACATGCATATTTATATGAACTCATGCGTTTGTGCTCTCACCATCTTATTCGTTCTCTTTATTTCTATCACTCACTCACTCTCTCTCTCTTCTTCTATCGCAGCTGCTGCTGTTATCGCTGCTGCTAGTCGGCGCTAGCGCTAAACCGCGCGCAGAACCGCCTTGCTGGACGTGGCCCGACGAGCCACTACCTCCCTGCGCCCAAGATTTAAGCTGATGTGGCAAAATCTACTGTAATCGACTGCTCGCTACTCCCCACCAGGAGCAAAAATATGTTGAGAGTCGTTTATTTTTCGTAATTATTTCGTGCCATTTGCGAAAACAATTAAACTTCCATAAAGTATACAAATAAGTTTCTTACTGGTAATCCTGTAATGCTCATGTGGGAACCTTTCAGTAATTAGTAGGGTTTTTTTATTTCCAACGCAAAGCACCCAAAAAGAGCGCGAGGTTTCATTGCCTGCGGATTGAAATAAACCATTGAGTTTAGAGTTGCGTTTAGGGTCAGCAGATACCAACAAAGTGCTCAAGAGCAAACACATGCACATACTCGTAATATGAGTCTCGTTTGTGCAGTTAGAATTCAAAGCGGAATTTGCCCAGCGGAACGCACTCTTTCTCTTTCTTCCTCTCATGTCTTATTCACAGTTGCTTCCATTGACCACCGTACCTGCACTCCTTTTCATTGTTGCCAAAGAAAACAAAAATAACTTAAGGCAGCAAAGTAAATGGGAAGACAAAGCAAAACAAAAATCGAGAGCGCAACAATAACAACACGGTACACTCTCTGCGCGAGTGCGAGCAGCGCAAATATGAAAGCAGCCGAATATCGCTTAAGACACACACACACACAAATGAAATGCGAGTGTGATCGAGTGAGATGTACATAGATATGTGCAAGTGTAAATGCCAGGGTGATCGAGGGAGATATATATACATATGCACAAATAAGTGTACATTCAAGCAAAGCCACCAGTAAGCGATGAAACTAGCTTCAGTTGCTTAACGAATGCTGGGTGCGAGCAGGACAACAGGCAGATTTAGAGAAATGTGTGTATGTAGATATAAATTATGTATGTACATATTTCCTTCCTTTGTGAAATCAGTAATCTGGCTAATTTGTATTAAAATAGTACTGAATGTTTTTATTAATACCGTTTATTGAGCATTGAAAATTGTCCACAGTGTAGGCAATGCCACGCTGCAATTAAAAGCGGTGATGATGTGAATGATGTTTCTGATTATGATGTGAGTTGTGGTGATATGGACTGTGATGTGGGTTGTGATGGTAGTTTTGTTGCGGTTTTTGGTATCCACCTCGATTGCCTCCACCACCACCGCGTCGTCCATATTGGGGCGCTGCCAATGAAGTGGCGAAAACCGCAAGTAACGAAAATAATATTATCTATATTCAAATATAATTGAAATATAACTTTTGTTAGCAATATACTCTATATACTCCACCAAAATATTATACTGACCAACAGTTTCATGACGACGACTCTGCCAACAATGAACTCTAGAGCGCACTGTCTGCGTCTTTTAAGTCAAAAATCTCAACTGCCGAACCCACTGCTATCATTTACATACTACATAACTTATACCTGAGCAACTGAACTGCAACCCAAACGAAAACGCACTTATTTATATTTATGCGGGTCGGCTTATCTGCACTGAACATATGCCCTCAAATATGCTGGACTGCCCTTATGCGTATTTTGACCTGTGTTTCCATTTCGGCTTTTTGGAAAATTGAAGATTGCACACCATAAAAGTGGATTAGCTTGGCTCTTTCCCATCCTTCAATATTTAATTGCCATGCGTGTCACATATGTTAATCTAAGTTGGCATTGACACATTCCAGGGTCAGCTATGCAGAGATAGTGTTGTCTAGGAGTCCACCCGTAATATACGAGTAGACTGACGTATTGCATATCAGTGAAGCTATTGAGAATGCTAAGAGATATGTAACGTCTGGCTACCTTATGATTCCCTACAACAAGTTAGACATATTTCGATGTTGGTAAATTTTAGTCAATAAGGTTTATTGACTTTGTTAATATTAATAGCCAGGGCGTCCATGTTGTCCGCCTTGTTGACCGCGACCGCCTTGGCCGAGTCCTTGATGACCGCGATCACCTGGTCCGAATCCTTGTTGACCGCGACCACCTTGGCCGAATCCTTGTTGACCGCGACCACCTTGGCCGAATCCTTGTTGATCGCGACCGCCTTGGCCGAATCCTTGTTTACCGCGATCACCTGGTCCAAATCCTTGTTGACCGTGACCGCCTTGGCCGAAGCCGTGTTGACCGCGATCACCTTGGCCGAATCCCTGTTGACCGTGACCGCCTTGGCCGAAGCCGTGTTGACCGCGATCACCTTGGCCGAATCCCTGTTGACCACCACGCTGGGGTACGGCCAGAACAGCCACGACCAGTGCTAAGAATACGATCTTTCAAAGGAAATAAAAAAATCATAAGTTTTTGAATACAATCCAAGAATCTTTCTGAGAACTTACGAATAATTTCATTTTGAAAATTTGTTGAATTTGATGCAGCGCTTCCAAAAAAGTTCTACTTGGAATGCATCTAGCGCAGGGGCTTTTATACCCGGCTATCGTGAGAGATTGGCATCAAAACATTTGCCGAACAAAAACAAACAACGGAAAAAACAAATTTATTTCTATATATACTATATATTTAATGTACATTGCTTTTCTACTAATATGTACACACATACAGTCTGAAGCTTATCGCGAGCGTCTCTTAAAACTAAGCGACGAAAACAACCAAATTGATTAGATGAATCAGCAAGAATAACAAAAAGCCCCCCAATTCAATTGAGCTGAAATTGACATATATAAAACTTGTCTACTCAAAGTGCAAATGATATGTGAACAAGCTTAGCAAAAATTAATTAAAATTATTAAACACTCCTTTGGTTTATACAGGATACAAAGCAACGTCTTAGTCCTTCTGCGATATTGTTCCTTTAAATAAATTTAAATGCAAAGTAGCTGCTAATTAATCAATTATTATGCAAGATTATACATTCGGTTAGACTGACATGAGATGGTGCAAAGCCATAATACCTTACATGCCCATTCTAATATGTTTAGGGTATAGAGCACTGATAAGCATGCACATACAATTAAAAAAAAAAAAAAAAAAAAAAACAAAAAATAGTAATAAATTTGAAAAATAATGAAAATAAAATACAAAATAAATATAATAAATAAGGAAGCCGTATATATGCACCACATTATATAAAACCAAAAAGTAGATAAATGCAACGAGAAGAGCTTCTTTACTTTGCATTTGCAAGTTGTATTGTATTTGTTTTACAAATGTAATTATTTCTTTATATATCATATTCTATGTAAATGATACGGTCGAGTCGCAATAATTTGTTCCCTACTAAATCAAAAATCGCGTTAAATCGAAAAATATTCTATTCCGTCGAAAAAATGCATTCTCGACAATTAATTTTTAATTTCTGTGTAAATCGAAAAAACACATTTCGAATTATTATTGGGACTCGACTGTACTTGATGCTGTATCAATGTGGCTTCTTTATTTAATATTTGAATTACATAATTTTATATTTTATATAGTTTTACATATTTTATTTATTTATATTTCAATGCGAATTCGTTTTCGAAGTCATTCTTAGCTATTGGCATGATTAAAATTAATTTAATTAAAATTATTTTAGCTCATTCTACGAAAATAATGATTAATATATATTTCAGAACTGCCATGTTTCTTTTTTTCAGAATTACTGACAACGTTTAGCAATTGATAAGAATTGAGAAGTATTGTATTTAATTTGATTAGAGCATAGCATGCTTTAAGGCTGTTTTGATAGCATGAAACTTCATCAAGAGCTGTCCACGAAGCAAACCGCTTCAAGACGAAATACATAATGAGATATATATTCATATGCTCATCTTACGGTAATGTTGAACTGCTGCATTGACATTTTCCTTATTCATTAGCCAAAAACACATTTAAATGTGAATTTTGCATAGTTTCTTAGGATCCCTAACAGTAACAAGAAACATGTATTGTAGCATTCAGTAAGTTTTAGGCCGTATGGCTTATATCTTTATTGAATTTGAATGCTTAATAACGACCGTGATGATTGTGTCCACCGCCGAGGCCATGTTGATTGTGTAAGTTGGCGTGTCCAACGTGTCCGAAGCCCTGCTGACCGTGACCTCCTGGTCCGAAGCCCTGCTGACCGTGACCTCCTGGTCCGAAGCCTTGGTGACCGTGAACTCCTGGTCCGAAGCCTTGGTGACCGTGTCCACCTACTCCGAATCCTGGTTGACCGAGTCCACCTGGTCCGAATCCTGGTTGACCGAGTCCACCTGGTCCATAACCTGGTTGACCAAGTCCACCGCCATGGGGAGCGGCCAAAACAGCCACGATCACGGCAAAGAATACGATCTTTGAAAGTAAATAATATAAGTCATTCGTTTTTGAGTAAATTTTGTGAACGCTCTTGAATACTTACGAATAATTTCATTTTAAAAGTCTGTCGATTTTACTTCAGCACCGCCAAAAATGTTCTAACTGTACAACATTGAACAACGCGCCTTTTTATACACGAAAATCGTGAGAGATTGGCGTCGAAACAATTGCGAAATAAACACAAACAATGGGAAAACCACTAAAAATGATTTTTTCAAATTAATTTTGTATATACAGAATATATAAAAGTGTATATAAAATGTGTTATACATATAAGTCTGAGCTTATCAAGCGCCCCTTGAAGTAATGGAAGTGACGCTGGCAATGAAAGACTCAACGGAATTCGGAAACAATTAAATTGTTGATAAGAACCAATAAAATGGTGTATTGCTTTGGAAAACGAAAACAAAAATATATATACTCAGTTCGTAAACAATACATATGCATTATATTCAATTGCCACGCCTCCTTCTGACTGTTACATAAGCTTTCACAAAACTATCCTGAAATTCTTTTTTTTGTGATTTGTTGCTGTGAATATAGTGGAGCACGTAGAGAAACCTATGCACTTCTTATATTTTTGTCGTAGATGCTTAAAACATGTATTTTCAATATATAGTATTCAAAAGTATATATATAAAAAAAATATTTTATATATATTATAATGTATGTTTTCATAAGTATATATAAAATATATACAGTATATATTTTTTTTATTTTTTTTATTTTTTGATTTATTAAAGCCATACGGGGTAGTTTATAATATCAATATAATATCAAATGGCATACCCATAATTTTATAGCATACTTTAAAGCTGCTGCGATTATTGAACAGGCGACAGAGTTGTCAAAACCATTTTCAGTAATACGTTCCAGATAATAGGCTCACAAAGGGGTTATCGAAAAACCTCGTATGGCTTTAACAAATAAAAAAAAAAAAAAAAAATTTAAAAGCTCTCGTATATATATGTATACCATATTTTTTTAATTGTATGGATTTACACAAATATTACAGAAAATTATAATTAAAAAAATTGATTAATTATATATATAGACATATCCGTTACATAGATATATGTCCGTTTGATGTATTTTGCAATTGGCACAGATATTACAGAAATGTAAATCAAAATTATATTTCATTATAGTTGAATATGTCCATAGGGTTTAAAATATCGGAAAAAATTTATTTCTAACGGATTATAGAGTGTGACAGTCAAATATGTCTATCTCTTTCTCTCTTGCCTACATACAAGCTGCTTCACACACACACAAACATATGTATATATACATATATATAAGAAGCATTTGTAGTAAACAGAACTAAATTATTGGCGTAACAGAAGACACTTGCTCTTAAGCTTTTTAGATTGATGGCTGAGCTTATGGCATAGCACGATTTTGACTATCGGAATCCAGGACAGCGATTCTAGTGGTAAATAGTAAGTACGCATAATGAATCGCCAGAGCAGTCGCAGGGAATCACTGGGAGTGGCTTTTGGAATAATTTCCCCACAGCTGATGCGTTTGCATAAATCCTTTTAAGGCGTTTCGCCACTGACTGTTGCCTGAGGGGGCGGGGGCGGAGGCGGGGGCGGAGGATTGCCGCGACTATGCCAGCGATAGCTGAAGCGAGCTAATTAAAAGCGTTGCCACTAAAATTGTAAGAAAATGTTGCACAGCTTTGTAAAGGATTTGCCACTCACAGCAGTACGCATCCGCATTCGGATACGCAGTATCCGCATCCGCATCCGCATTCGTGTTCGCATCGCAGAATCCGTAATTCGCAGCAGCGACAGCGAGTCGAGTTTTTAATGTTTAACGATTTGTTTTCTTGTCGTGTCGTGATTTGCTTTTGGGGACTTAGATGAATGCATTAAATATTGAAATTAATGGATTTTCCGAGCGCAACAATTTCATTTGTGCTCGCTCAGTTCAGTTCAAATATTCCGTTTAAATAAGCGATAGTACTATCACTTGCCCTCCAATACAAATTTTCCTTTAATCTCAACTCTTCTTTATATATGTACACATTTATATTGTATGTATGTATTTAAACAGTTTATTTGCTCTATAGATAGCTGACCTTTGTTAGTTTGTTCAGCGTAATCTGTTTTGTATTTCTTGTTTTTCTTGGGCTATTTCGTAAATATGTTTCAACTGTGTATAATAATGTGAAAACATATCTATTATATTATATTAGATACACTGTAATAATCTACAAACTATATATATTAACGCGAGAATCAATCAAATAATTGTAGTACCATTAGCAGTAGTGATTTATTTTATATGCACGACTACATGTTACCCTACAAGATTTAAGAAATTTATTTATTTATAGAATTCAACAATAAGCTAAATTTTTGGGATCTTTATTTACTTATTACACTAGTCGTTTTGTAAGCTAAAGAAAATAAAATGGAATAAATAAATATTTATAAATTATTTTTAGATAATTTTAAACATTTCTGGGACATGCATGATTGACAGATACTCTTTAAAAAAACAGCCATATACAGTAGACTAAATAGCTAAAAATACCACATCAATCAATTTGAGGTAATTAACTTGATTAAATGGTAATTGATCAACATTTATTGATCTGTATTTAATATTTTGCGATAAACTGAAATACATACAAAGGGTACAAAGTTTTAGAGTTTCATTTTGTAGATTCGCTATTCATTCAGTATTTATTTGTTGTACAAAATTTGATTAACTTTGGCATACCTCACCTATTTATGCCCTGAACCCATTGAAAATGGGAACCCCATAGAGTATATATATTCTTGATATAGCCCTGTCCGTCCGTCCATCCGTATGAGTGCGTCGATCTCAGAAGTTACAAGAGCTAGAGAGCTGAAATTTAGCATGAATACTCGTGTGTACCATACGCAGTACAAGTTCATCTTATTTTTTTCGAAAACTCATCCGATACCTTTTTTGTCGAGAATAATCGAAAAATTGATTTGGTTTTTTCAGCCTAATTTGAACATTTTCAGACCTCGAGACTTCAGATTTACTGTGTATATAAAGTTGATCGATACAAAGATTTTGTAATTTGGAATGTACACATATTTTAACCATATGATCATGCTCTGAAAGTTTCATTAAGATTGTCCGTCTACAAAAGAAATTAT